ATATATATATATATATATATATATTCGCTGTATATATATATATATATATATATGTATATATATATATATATATGTCGCTGTATATATATATATATTAAGAGCAGAGTACACCCGTCAAAAGTCAATTCAATTACAATCTCATTTCGATGAATTTATAGGAAAGATTTTCACAGTATAAACGATTCTGTCTCTCCTATTGCAGGTGATGTAATCCGTGAGAATCGATGATCAATTTGATCTACGATCCTTGCTGAAGTCAGCCGATCGATCGTCGATCGTCGCAAGCAGCGGGCAGGGGAATCAAGATGTGACACCACAATGTATCTTTGACGGTTTCGCATTTAAAGACCAGACGCACAGCGCTGGGCTTGATAGTAAGTACTTTGCCATTCGTATAGACTATACAGGTTGCATAACAAATCGCAGCCGAAAGATCGTTAGGTCTCGAGAAACAATCCCGAGCGTCTCGAAGACAATTCGTCAGTTAAGAATTAAGGCCATGACTTCGTCCGGGAAATCCAATTATTTTAGAGTACTTTGCCGGAAACTTTCTTCCGGTTTCTGACTTACTGCCAAAGCCTCGCGACTGTATCTTGATTTCGTTCGCAGTGAGTACAATTAAGGGTGAATTTATTGTGTCGCTATCCCATATAATGGGCGCGATCGTATGGCTAAAAGGGGCTGAGAATTATTTTGTTTGTTAAGTGAAAGTTTATATTACTTCCGCTTCACGATTTTAATACTCTGCATATATTTGTACAGTTTAATTACGAAATCCAGAGAGAATATAGTTTGCTTGACGTGTCGTCGTCATTACAAATATTCTTTAAATATTGACATGCCGTAAATATTGCTAGGTCGTATGCGGGATTGAAAATTAAATAACTTTTTAATTACGCAAACGGCAGTGATTTACAATCCATGACCTGTTACGTGATTAATGTCAGAACAGGCTCCAAATATTCGACAAGTGCCCTTTCGCGTTCATGCCAATTGCGCCTCATCGATTGCTATTGAGAGACAGAGGCACGGCATTCCGTTGTTAATACTCCGCACTCGAAACATTACGAGTTAGCGTTTGATTTACTAATGAAGTGAGCGATACACGCTAATACGCCGCGCATATAATTCTAATACTATTATCCGCTTGTTATTGTCTCATGTTAAACTCGTAAAATCAATAGTCTTTTGTCTTTTGCGCGAGTACGCCGTCGCGTCCCTAATGGGAAAATATTACGAGCGTGCTGCACGAGTGCGCTCGAAATACGAGAGAAATAATTTTTATGCGGGGTAATTATTATTTTATGCTTGCTGGAAAAAAAGTAAAAAAAAGCATAAAAAAGCAGGGACTAGGGAGTTGGCGTTTAGCAGTGAATGCCTAAAGAAACACGTCCATTTTTCATTAAATAATTTTGTTTTCACAAATATACATCTTGATTTAAAAAACATGCTGAAAATAACAGACATGTACGTATTTTTTAAATTAAAAAAGAAAGGTTTAATCCTAAATAAATTACTCTACTGATGTGTGATTTTTAGCAGAGTCATCAATAGAACAGAACAACAATACAGCAATACAACAATACACAAAATGTTATTTAACCTGGGTTTTGGAATCGATTGTACTTCCCGTTCTAATCAAAACTCGGAAACAACTACGAGTTGCTGCAGTTGACGCACTTTAATTGGGATATTCTAGACATAAGCTTAAGTAAACTAAATTTCTATGCTAGAGTTACACCAACTAACAAATTAAGCGAATCGGAAATGTGTGTGTTTCTTAACATGTTGTGTTAGTGGAGAAATATTTCTCTCGATATTAAATTTCATCTCGATGTTTTCGATATTCTGATTTTTGCTTCATGGGAAATTTCAGTCTGTCGAAAGTTTGAGCGAGCTAAATATTCTGCAGGAAGATCGGGACGTCTTGTAGAAGCGCGCGTTTCAAGCGGTTACTTAAAAAAAAATCAAGAGAGAATCTGTCCTGTCGACTTTAAAAAAAAGTAAAAATAAAATAAATATTCTGGCGAACAATGCGCGACGCGCGTAATCGATTCAAAAATGTAACGGGAATGTACATAATTGCTGCTTGAGAACACAAGATGGTCTGACGTTCGCCCTTGCATTCGTGTGCAACAACGCATAAGGACGTGGTCGGCGCGGCGTCACGTAACGCTATATCGTATCACGCTGCGGCACGTAAAATAGAATTTATCGATTTGCGCGAAATTTATCTCACGTGACGCGATACCGACGGAAAATATGCAGCCCCATTCAATCCACGCCTCTCAGAATTTTAAGGACGGCAATTTATGTGTTCGGCGCGATACGCGATCGCCAGGCGACGACGGGCTGGCCTTTAACCTACTCTACCCCGTGAAAATTCCATTCGTCCGGAGAGCGAAACGCGGACCGCCGTGCGCACGTTTTAGGAAAATTTCGACGCTGACACAATTTTTTCTAAATGGCGATCCTGTATGGTTCGGGGCTTGTAATTCAGTTGAAGGTGCGAAACCCCGTTGGCGATGGAGTTGTAATTGAATTGTTTGGGACGACGCGTTCAGTCGTGGACGCTGTCGGCGACGGTGCGAGCTCTAACTTCGTTCCTCTTTTTTTCTCCTTTTTTTCCTCTTTTTTTTTTACGAAAACTTGTAATGTGCAGTCGAGCGATTTTCACTGGTGAACTGTCACGCGTAGAATTACGTGCTATTTCGCAGCTCGAAATACCCACCCGCGGCGAAATTGCCCGATATTATCCGATGTAAAGTCTTCCAACTCCGCGCGCATTTCGCCGGGGGATGCCTTTATAGTCGCGTGATTAATAAATTTTCCTCAGTTTTAAATATTACGAGATTTCAATATTACGCGACGATTTCTTGGGAGTGAGCGCGCTTGCATGTACTTGAGGGATGAATTTGTATGCGCGCGCTGAATACACTACGGTTTATTAATAATTCCGTGCTCGAATTTGAGCGATCAATCGCGTATGTACTTCTGCGGCTAACAATAAGTGGAACGCAAAGCTATCGATTTAAAATCAGCTGCGATCGTCTCCTCTTCCTACGGCTATAGGTATCAGAATTCTCCATTGGAATGAAGAACATGCCTTTACACGGGATACGGCAATCGATCAAATCGGATAAGCTTACAAAGCCGATTTCGAACGATGTTACGTATTATGAAAGTTCCGTGATTGCTTTAATCAAATACGGCTCGATACGCTGCTTTGACTGCAAATAGCCGGGTCTGGGATATTTCATCGGCTGATTCCTGAGAATTTGCGGCGGGTAATCTCCAACCCGTGATTTTTCTGACGATTAACCACCCTCTCTCTTAACCGCGATATAATTCTTTTCTTTTTTCCGCGCGTTCCGCGGCTCGTTGATTCGTTGGGGCGGCTATTAAAAGCGTCTGTTAAGCTCCCGTCTGAAAAGCCCTATCCTGTATCGCAGTGCTTTCGTCCCCTTTCGGCATTAACTAAATCAATATTTACTTCGTAGGCGAACATGTGTAATAATGAAGTTTGACAGTTTCCTCGCGTTTCAAATTGGTCAGCGCATAGAAGCCGAGAGAAGGACAGTCAGAGAAATGAGGGAAAGAGAAAGAGAGAGAGAGGGGGGGGGAAGGGAGAGAGAGACTCGGGTATCCTCGAATGATGAAGTACCCGACGGTTTTGACACGACGAGCGGCAAACAGAACGGAGTTACCGCAGGGGAGCGATGTTTTCCCGGATTTCCAAGTGGTAATTACACGGAAGTGAGAGAACGTGAAAAATGTTATTCCGCGCGCGACCCATTTCGCGTCGTGATCGCTATCTCTTCGGAAGGGGAAAAAAAACTTGGATTTAAAAGAGAAACCGTCCGCCGAACGCGAGGCAGATTTATTCGACGGCTCGATCTCGAAGAAAGGCGTCTTTAAATGGTTCGTGGAGCACGAGTTCTGCGAGAATGCGGAATCGTGCCTTATCCCGCGATGAACGCGCCGTTGACCGTTTTCCCGTGAGACTTTATATATATATATATATATACATGCGTATCGTTAAACCCCGTATTTTTATTGGCGACATGACGTTTCCTGCAGCCGGGGGGAGCGTGACAAAGGCCGGGGCTGCTTGCCGACACTCGCTGAGCACGAGAATGGAAACATTTTCCGCGCTTTCAGACCTATAACCGCACTGGCTGTCGTGCAGAAAATAATACCTCGTGCGTGCGGTCGAATATATGTGTGCCGCAATCTGCGACCCGATAATTTATGACACGGAGAAAAAGTACCGCTGGATGCTTGATGGTTGCAATTTGTTAGAGGAATTAACGATTTTACCTATTGTTACATTTTTTCAAACCGAGTTGTACGATGTGGTTTCAGTAAATATACATGCGAATAATGATGATTACTTAACCCTGTAACCGCGGTTCCATTTATTCAGGCAGCGTAAACACCGTTACCTTTGCTACAAAAATATTATATGTCTAAATAAATTGGACGATAAATCTACAAGAATTATTGACCAGCGATAAAAAAATTTAAATTCTCTGCGAATAAGTGTTAGCGAGTTAGAAAAAAATACAATGGAAGTTCAAAGTGTTAAGTGTTCCTTTAAACTGAATAAAAAAAGAATACAAAAATAGAACGGGAGTTCAAAGTGTTAAGTGTTTCCTCAAACTAAATGTAAAAGAATACATCTTTGCTATTATTTTTGCTTTAATCGCCGTTGAGCATTTTTTGGGGCTCACTTTGATCTGCAGTCGCGAGTGATTCGACGACGAAAAATTGCAAACTTTACGAAACTTTTGAATCGCTTTGGCATTCACGTAAACACACACACGAGAGACACATGAATCTCTCTTTAGCGGTTTGATACGATTTCTATCTGGCCAAACTCAACTTGTAGATCAACGTTACTGCCGGTCGAAAAGTTTGACTGAAATAAGCGAATTGGATTGGCGAATGTCAACCGATTTCCGCACAACCGCACAAGACTCCGCGAAAGAAACGCGAAGTCTGTATTAATTTTCGTTTGAAATTACATTTCAAACGTATAGCTTGCGATCGTGTTACGTGCACGTTTCGAGAAATACAGCTGTGATTTTATACGGAATTTATATTCCACGTTGCTATCGAACGTTGCTTAAATGTCATTCGAATTGTATAAATATATATTCGTTCGCTGGACATTTGATTCCAAAGTCAGATTGACTTTTGCATATTTAAACCAATCGTATTAAACTGTGTAGTATCAGAAGATTGCGGATTCACGTTACAAATTCTAGGATCGTCTCGAAAATGAACAAAGAGAAAGAGAGGGGTACGAGAAAAAAAATTGAATTACACCGACGTCTGCGTGATACTAAACGATCTGACTTACAGAGGGTTTCCTGGACGACATGAACTCGAGCGGAGAGTCCAGCGGAACGATGTCGGAAGATTATGAAGTCGGAGGCTGCAGCGTTCCGGAAGAGGAGACGGGCTCGAATCTGCCGACATGGGAGGCGGTGGCGGCTACGCTGACCTTGGGCTTCCTCGTGCTGGCGACGGTGTTCGGCAACGCGTTGGTGATCCTAAGCGTGTTTACATACCGACCGCTTCGGATTGTCCAGAACTTCTTCATCGTCTCGTTGGCGGTGGCCGATCTCGCGGTGGCGATACTCGTGATGCCATTCAACGTAGCCTATCTGCTGCTGGGCAAATGGATCTTCGGTATCCATCTGTGCAAGCTGTGGCTGACATGCGACGTGCTCTGCTGCACCGCCAGTATCCTCAATTTATGCGCCATCGCGCTAGACCGTTACTGGGCGATCACCGATCCGATCAATTACGCTCAGAAGCGCACCCTCAAGCGAGTCCTCGGGACGATCGCCGGCGTGTGGATTCTCTCGGGTGCGATCAGCTCGCCGCCGTTGGCCGGCTGGAACGATTGGCCGGAGGAATTGGAACCAGGCACGCCCTGCCAGCTCACTAGACGGCAAGGCTACGTCATATACTCGTCTCTGGGCTCGTTCTTCATACCGTTGCTGTTGATGAGCCTGGTTTACCTGGAGATCTTCTTGGCGACGCGCAGGAGGTTGCGAGAACGCGCCCGGCAGAGCAGGCTGGGCCCGGTGCAGTCCACCAGGCACCACGAGACCGACGATGCCGAGGAGTCGGTCAGCTCGGAGACGAATCACAATGAGCGCTCGACGCCCCGTCTGCAGGCGAAGCCGTCGCTGATCGACGACGAGCCGACCGAAGTGACGATAGGTGACAACGATCGTCGCACCACCGCGTCCACCAGGCGAGGTGCCGGCGCCGGCGATGCCATCCCCGCCACCTCGGCGACCGTCTACCAGTTCATCGAGGAGCGACAACGGATCTCGTTGTCCAAGGAAAGACGCGCCGCGAGGACCCTGGGCGTCATCATGGGCGTCTTCGTCGTCTGCTGGCTGCCGTTCTTCCTCATGTACGTCATCGTGCCGTTTTGCCCGGCCTGCTGCCCGTCTGACAGGATGGTATACTTCATCACGTGGCTCGGCTACGTCAATAGCGCTCTCAACCCCCTCATCTACACGATCTTCAATCTCGATTATAGAAGGGCGTTCAGGCGGCTGCTGCGAATCCGCTGAGCCCTCGCGGCCGTCACGTTTGGCCCCTGGGCTTTGGCAGACGAGGGGGATCCTCGCGATTTCATTCGGCGTCCGGCCGTCCGAATCTCCCTCGCCGACCGCGAGCCCACGCGGAACCACGCGACATGATCGGTCATAATAGCCCCTACGTCACGACTTCTATACTCACGAGATTTCCGTCTGCTAGCCAATGGAAGTCGTTAAGTAAGTTCTTCGTCCAGGGAGAAGCGCGTCGCTCATCGGGGTGGCGCCGGGGTGGCGCGACGTCGCGAAATTAATGGAAAATTTAGACGTCTCGTTCACCCCGATCGCTCGTTCGTGCGCGCACAGCTCGTTAATGTTACGCGGTGAAAATTTCACGCGTACTCAGCACAGAGACGACGATGGTGGCGACGAGTTACGAAACGACGAGTTACGAAGCGTCGCGAAGCGTGAACTCAGAGCAAGTAAGTTACCAGCAAATTTGCAGGATTATTGCCGTTTTACGCCAAGTTACGAACTAATCCTACGAAACTTGATAATTTATTTTCGACTACCGCGTTTAATTAAAGGATCGATCCTATTAGCGTGAACAATTACGTTTATCCGAGGAGTAGCGATCAAGAGAACACGGCCATAATTCCCCACCAAAGAAACACCTTACAACTATTATTTATGTCGAAAAAAACAGAGAAATGTACGCAAAATTTGTCAGACGGATAAATTTCAGTGTCGTAAACAGACATAACGGGAGATTAAAGATCGCGATTTTTGCGGAAAAATGATTAGAATTGATAAAATTAATCTACCCCTAGTGCTTGACCCTTAAATCAAACATTTACAAAGTTTCTGAATTATTACGCGACTTTCCAAGTAAATTTCTTTTTTATGGAGCAAAAACTCGGAACGCCATAAGAATCTCGAAAATTTCCTTCAACTGGTATAACGGATTGCCATGACTCCGAGAGAGCCCGAAGAGCGATGTGCACTTACCGTCGGAACTTCCCTGAAAATTTATCAGGGATCCCGAGAAGACGTTGAGAAAATGGATACGGTTTCATCCAAGAGGATGCACGAAGCGCATCGCAATCAAGATTGGCAGCCGGCGGCAGCCGGCGCTAATCCGGCCGTGAAGAGCTTTCAAGGGCGAAAGTTGAAGGGAAACTTTCTGCGAGAGTGATAAAGGAAATTATACTTCCTGTGCTGGTTGGCAACCACCTTCCCCCGAATATCGTTACGCAAAGCTTCGTCAGCTTTGTCAGCTTCTTCCGAATTTTCTCTCTTCCGCGGTTTTGCTGATCAATCTAGCTGCGCTGGAAGATGATTAATGATTGAATTTAGCGCCCGAGAGCGTGTAAATGCGATTTATCAGTAAATCAATAATTCTCGATACCGGATTGTAATGGAATCGAGGTCATCGGGGGGAGGAGAGGTCTCTCTCGCGAGAAGCCACCGTCGTTCCTTTCCTCGTCGCGCACAGTTTCCGTCTGCCCGATGCGCGCGAGAGCAAAAAAAAAAAAAGAAGGAGGGTCTCCGTTAGAACGTCGAGTAACCTGTCTTGTCCGTCGATTTCGTTCGTCGACGAAAGATGGGGACGTGCTTTTCTTCTACCAACGACAAACGGAGAAATAATCGTACGCGCGGTTTTCAGGTAGACCCGGTTTAGGTAGACGTGCGTACGTCCACCGAACGTTAACACAATTGCAAGTATTACGGTTGTGAATAATTAATAGTAACTAATCCATGAGAGCCCCGACCGCGCGGGGCACGTAGCGTAAGGAAGCAGTGTAAGAGGCATTTCGTTCGTCACCACCGAGACCGGTCGTTTATTCGGGGGAGCGTGACGTTAACAACGCCGAGAGCCGAGATCCGCGCGCAACCTCTGCGGTTACGCGACGCGCGCGGTCGCGGCCCCGCGCGTCGTATAAAATCACAACACTTTAAACCGCCTCCCGAGACGTATTCACGTTGACACGCGATTATATCGTCACGTACCGCTACAAAAGTTTCTCGGAATCACCGCTATTTATTATAATCACGGCTCTCTTAGCTTATTAATAGACGGTTTTTCCTTAGAACTCGGGGCGGCAGACCATCGTTCATTCCAACTTTTGAATATCCAGCTTTTCGCGCGACCCTGATATGGCTCGCATCATGATTTACAACTCTTCATCTTACCTTGTCATCAAAGCACGTTTCGGTCGTAAATAATAGAATGAGCTTTCGTTATTCATTTATATTCCTCCTAGAAGTCGAAAGTTTTGTTGACAAACTTTCGTCGTTCCGCGGGAAGTATCGAACGGAGAGACTGTGTATTTTATTGAAAATCCTTCGGACGAGCACGGAATCGGAAACGATTCCCCGATTGTGTCGAAACTTTTCGCTATTAAGAGTGGTTTTGAAGACTACAACTCTCAAGCGAATATCCATGGTCTTGTCGTCTTTCTGCCGCCGGTCAATGAGGTCATGTATCGGTGATTACGGGATACCGTAGATCTGCGTACACGCGCACACACGTACATCCGCATACTTTGACATACGCGAAGTACTATTTATATGACCACAATACAATTTAAATTATCTTTAAGGTAAAAACGAGGGAACAGGCGGCGAGAAACCGCCAATCTCCTCGAGTGCCGCGCCAAACGGACAGATTGAGGTTGAACTCCAGGTAAGAAGGGCGGTTGAAACTAGATTGGGTGGTGGGATTGGTCATACGACTCGGTGGTAAGCTCGTCACCAGGGCACTCTATAATAAGGTTGTGATAAGGTTGTGAGAACACGTTCGTAGCCGTGCTACGAACGACATAAGATTTTTAATTACTAGGATAGGGAACATTTCTTTACTCGAGTTATACTCTTCGATGCAGCGTTGCCTCCTGCCCAAGAGACGGAAAAAGAGAGCAAAAGAGAAAGAGAGAGAGAGAGAGAGAGAAGTAACGAGGTTCCAATCGTCTTTAAAAAGTATATCGAGGCTTCTTTTTTTTTGTAATCTAACCTCGCCAAAACGCTACAGGTAGTTCTGAACTTGCAAACTTGGCTACGATGGGAGAGTTGTTAAAAACAGGATTACATTTTCACTGCATGAATCTCATTTGCGTGAAAAACCCGTGTCTTTGGCGTACGCCTAAAACACCAGCGCTCTCGTACCATTTTTTATTTAAATAGAATTTCCGTGGTGACCTTTGATGCAAAATCTAACGTGTCCCGCGTGGGAAATTCGATCATTCGATTCGATTCTTTTGCGTATATTGAAATAAAGAGAAAGTTTGATCGGTGCAGTAAAACCAATTGATATTTTTTCCAATATTTTTTTTCCCTTTTTTTTTTACATATACACAAAAAATAAAATTTGAGAATTTGAGTTGTTTGAGCTTGAAAGACTTTTTCCCTTCTATTATTTTTGCGAAGATATTACTAAGTGCCAAAATAACGTATTTATTACGTTTTGACTTGGTGAAAAAAAAACATTTATTATAATATTTTTTCTCGTCTGCATTATCCATAATCTCTCTCTTCTCATTGTTGTCACGTTATGTCGTTGTGTAAGGTAGCACGTTGGATTCTTCGGATTCCGATATCTTGGGTAGGAATCTCAAAATGCGTAGTTTATGATATTATATTATATATTGTATATTACATCGCGCATTATATTAATGTACGTATCAGCAAGTGCGATTCTCGCTTGGGAGTGTTTCGCGAATCGGTATGCAGCTCGTTTCAACCTTCTCTTTTGAAATTTAAACTCGAGTGAGTTTTCTCTCTCTCTTATTTTTCTATTTTAAATGACAGGGCTGTTAAAAAATAATTTATCAAATAATATTTTGAATGCCGCGAAACGACGCGCGAGAATTTCATCTTGTGATCGAGCCTGGTCGCTCGATACAAAGAATACAGTTCTAGATACGTATGATAAATAAAAAGATATATATATATATGTGTATATATATATATATATATATATATATATATGTATATACATACACCTAGTTGATAAACTGATACTCGGTTGGTTGTGATTTACAAGTATAGCAATACAGCGATACTCGTTTCTGTGCGTGGTAATGTATTGCCGGCGGAGCTTTCCTCTTTCCCAGTTCAGAGAGAAAGAGAAGGAGAGAGAGAGAGAGAGAGAGAGAGAGAGAGAGAGAGAGAGAGAGAGAGAGAGAGAGAGAGAGAGTTATTTCGTACAATCCGAACTTCTTCCATATATCTGCGAATCTAAAAATAATTTCTTTTTCCAAAGAAAATTCAAGATGTAAATTCTTCGATGGATGAAAACGATGTATCTATTCCATAGTTGTCACGTTCAATAACATGACTTTTTACGATCTTGTCGCACATTAATTTAATATGATCGTTGTTGATAACAATTAATTCTTAAAATATTATTAATATTTAAAAAATATTCATGAAAATGTCAAGATTTTTCTGTGTAAGAGTGGAAGATTAAAATCGTCCACACGTTGTATATTTTACGTTCGGAAAAATACGGGTGACGCATATGCGTATCGCAGAGAGGAAATAAATCATGTGTTTTATCATAGGGCGCGAGGAAAAACGCGACGCCGCGCTCGGGGGTGAGGGAAATATTTTTAAATTCAAATACAAAAATAGGAAATAGACTGGTTACAATATAATCTAGAATGGCGTAAAAACAAATAATGCCTAGTGCGCGTTATAATGTGCTTGGCATTTCACCAAACACGTTCATCACCTCGATGTTCGGATTTAGTGAAAACTGATGTCTATTGAATCGCCATACCAATTCGATTCAGTAGACTGCTATTTCAGCATCATTTTTGTTTTACAAATACAAAATCCAAAAAAATGTGCGAAATCTACAAAGATTTTCTATTGAGATCATACAATAATAAATAAAAATTTAATTTATAATTATGCGAGTAAATTAAGCGAGTTAAATTAACTTATGTTTTATAAGCAATTCTCTAATATTTATTATATTTGATTATATGTAATAAATATTTTTTGTCAGCTTGTCGTTTTCATTCTTCGAATTGCGAAATGCGAAAAAATTCGAAGCTTTTGCGAATCATGTTTGTATAAATTTCCCTTTTTGTTACGGCGCTTGCTCTCTAGATTTATACATACATTTCAAGCGTGGTTGTTGTTTCTGCGAGTATTTCGAGCATGGGATGGATGTAACATTTATTTGATCTGCTTGTAATCCGTCACTTGTGAAAAACAGACGCGGGCGGCTTGCGATGCAAGCGCGAGGCAAACGGTATGAATTTACATGTCACAGCATTATTGAAATTTCCCGCGTTACAAAAAGGTTTATGGTTAATTAAAAGGATTACGGGAAGAAATCTGGGAGGAGCTCCGCTCGCATCTCCGGAATGTGCAGATCGAACGGGAGAATTCTTGTGAGCCTGCCGCTTGGACGTGTGCATGCAAAATCAATTAATGAACAAGACGGACATACTGACGTGCGTGTATGCACGTTAAAGTGACCGGTGTGCGAGTAATGAGTGCATCGAATCGATGGACGATTATGTATCTAATTATGTATCTACACCGCGATGAGAACATTGATTAGCATTTATTTCGATTGACGACAATTTACGACGGACACACGGAGTAATAAAATCTCTGCGTAAATGCCGAACAAAATCACTTAGAAAAAAAAAGAAACGTACGTGACGCACGAAATTTCAGTCGATATTATGTAACGCGATTTACGAATCTTGATAAACAACTTCCGGCCATACGTAGCATTACGTTGTTAAAACGCGCGACCGACCCAATGATTTTTTAAATCGTAATTTTCTTATTACGCGTTCTTTACTACCGAAATATATGTTACTATTTAAATTATCGCTGCGTATTAATTCTTGCATATTGTAGGCGCGTGGCGTATGGTAAAAGCTCGTCGTTAATTTTAATGAATTATCATGTGTGAGATGGATGTACGAATACCAATGAAATATTGAAATAAACAATGTTGTACGGTGTTATGGATTTTACGCAATGTTCACTGTGGATTTCCTTCAGAATTTTGTGCGCCTGTTTTGTGCGATCGAATAGAAAGAGAAAAATAAAAGAATATATATACATGTGAGTACGATATATTTTATTATTAATTTGTTTAAGAATTATCTTGCTGTTAATTTGTAAACTTTGTTTTATCCCCTATCACTCTTACGTAACGGCTCGTAAATGTAATAAATTATGAGATGCTTCTTTTAAAATAGCCCGTATCGTATATAATGTATGTAAATTTGGACTGACGATTCGGTGGCATTTGCTCTTTTTTTTTTCTTTTTACCACGGCGGCCTACACATGCAATGAGAAGTATTATATATTTCGCGTGATGCATTGCACGCGACGCTGAAAACGCCAGCGAAATCGTCTACATGCCGTGTCCCGCGATTGCATTGTTACAAGAGCCAAGTGCTTCGTACATTGTTCGTGTTACGTGGCAATTCTCTATATATTATATAACCCATATACTAAAATAACAGTCCCTACAGAAAACGTAATAGGCCCTTTTTGTAAAAACACTCTCGGATTTGAAAAATTTAATTTACAAACGTGTAAAGGGAACGACAGATACTAGCGGCCGCACAAAGCGACGAGTATAAAACGGATTCAGCAAAGAGCGATCTTTTAACATGATAAAAAAAAATGACATTCCTTTAATATTCTGCATGCGAATTACATTAATGTAATGTAAAACCTCTATTATTTTTTTATTTGTCACACGTTTAATCGCAATTTATAATCCTATTGAAATAAAACACTCTAATAAATGGTTACGATAAAAATTTAAATTCTTAAGCACGCACAAAGTGCAATAATCAGACATCTTTTTATTTTACTCTACAATTTTTCT